CCATTCCTTCGAAGCAGCAGAGCAAGTTGACGGGGAAGTCGACGCCGGCCTGCTTGTGGGCGTCAATGATGTTGATCCAGCCGAGGACGGGTCCCTTGTCGTCGGTGCTGCCACGGCCGAACATGCGGCCCTGCTCGTCGACGGTGAGGTCGAAGGGCTCTGTGGCCCAGCCGTCCTCCTTCTGCGCGGGCTGGACGTCGTAGTGGCCGTAGACCAGGACGGTGCGCTTCTTGGGGTCGCTGCCGTAGCGGGCTAGCACCACTGGAGGCAGGTCGAGGTGCTCTCTGCCAGGCTCCTTGCCGAGCTCTCGCAGCTCGACCTCTGCACCGAGAGTCTTGAGCTGGTCGGCGATCCAGTGACCCATCTACACCACCGTCAGCTCCTCTGTATCTATGGTCTATGCTATTTTATATAGAACCAAAGTGTTGGTAGGCTCACCCTGACAACCTCAGGCCGGCTCTCCGCCTGTGCCGAGACAGACTGAATAGCAACCGCCTCTCTCAAGCCTGGAAGTAGATGTCAGATACAAAAACTAGTACCAAACATAGCATATCGATCAATATTGAACAAGATAGTAGTACTGACGCTCAATGAAGGGCTGCTTGAGCTCATCCACCCTGTCTCACCGTCAGCATCAATCCTTACAGCAAGCAAAGACAGGACCTACTTCTTGAAAAAGGGATCCAACTGAGGAGCCATCTTGGAGTCAGTGACGTGACCGTAGTACGAGCGTCTCTGAAGAGTAAAAGCAGAAGCAAAGGACGAGGCAAAAGCTGTAGCCGGTCGACGTCGACTATGAGTAGTTGCAGTATAAAAGGCACGACGAAAGACTGGTGTGAAAATTCGCTGCCGGGCCACAGGAGCGGGGAGCATCTCAACCGCCAGATATAAATATACAAAAATAACAACTACTAAGCAGCACAGCAGTAGCTAAGGAGGGGCAATGGTTAGATCCGGCTAATTATCGCGCGAGTGGAGGGCAAAAGACAGGCATGATTAGGTACGTACCCAGCGGTCATAAAGCGACAGTCACATCGCAGAGCGTTCGCTGTAAGGTACACCGGGCGCGGCGTTGCTTTTTCCTTAGTGGCTCTGGTGTTACTTGTCTGCGTGTTAGGTAAGCAGCAGTGTAAATATCCGACGGGCCAATGGGAAGCTGCGGGATTTACGAAGCGGGTTGGAAACTGCGGCCGCTGACTGGCTGGGGGTGAGCGCCCTCTTGCTGCTGTCCGATTGGCTCAGCTGCTGGTTAAGTAAGAATTAGGTAAGTAAAGACTTGGCATCACATGATTGATCGAGTAACATCATTATGTAATATTAGAGTTTTAGTCAGCGAGGCCCGTGCGATCCGGCGCATTTTTAACTCTAAACGAACAACATCAAGAAGGAAGCAGCAGCAGCGCGAAGCAGACAGCCAACAAGACAGCAGGCAGCGGACAGCAATATCATCATCCCCCACGCAGGCCCCGTCGACCCCCTTGCTCTCATTTCCCCCTCATTCCCCCGCCTCATGCCTCATGCCTCGCAACGCGGTCCCCCGTCACCATGACTCGCACTGGAGCACAGCGGGCTGCCGAGCACCAATGTAAGTAGCTACCCTTTGCACTTTTGCGCCTGGCTGTCTCTCCGTGGCCACTGACCAGCGTCTAACATGCAGGCGATCAGATACATCCTACCCTGGCTGATGACACTCGCTCCCTACACGTATGCGTTATGGCACAACTATCACGCCCCAGCTGACAGCTAAGCTAACTGTATTGTACAGAGCAGAGGGAGAGGCCGTAAGCGGCGAGCCGACGACACAATAGATCTCCATCCAGATATACCTCTACCGAAACAGCCGCGAGTTGCTGCTGTAAACCTCAGTACCGAGGGCACCCCCCGCAACTCCGTGGCAGGCCACGGCGCACTCGACGGCCCAATCGACCCCATTGGGTTTTGGGTGGAAGAAGGACGTTGGCCGGAAGAAGGCTGGTGGCCAGAAGAGCCCTCGAACATGGAGCACTTGCTTGCACGAAAGAAGTCTTCCTCTTCCTCATTTGGACGTAAGCGGTCAAACCCTGCCACGTACACGACGCCTAGCGACGAGAAACCCAGAGAGCAGAAGAGTGCGCCGTATAGGGATGTGCGGTACGAGCTCTTACTCCAGACCAAGGGCACATATATGGACACGTGCGATCTGGGCATCACGGACGCAAGCAAACATCTTGTGTGGGAACTCCTTCACACTAAACAGCCAGTTCCGAAGGAGACGCTCTTTGACGAAGCGACATTCGTTGATGCTTGCCGCCACTTGCAGGGCAGGAATGAAGCTAAAGTTATTCAAGACATTTCCCGGCTCATTGTTCCTTCAGCGGAAGCACTCGCAATCCAGGCCAGGGAACTTAGACTTCTCATTGAGAGCGTGAACGAGGGCTGGAACAATTCGATCCCTCTCACAGGGACCCGTCCCCAGCCAGACTACTCTGTGGGGTTTAGACGAGAAGCATTCACTGAGGATCAGCGCTCTAAGCTGTCACCATTCATTGGTGACTTCATCGCAGGGGACCAGTCCTTCTTCATGGCCACTTACTACATGTACTTCCCGTTTCTGACGTGTGAGGTGAAGTGCGGTGCTGCGGCCCTCGATGTCGCCGACCGCCAGAATGCCCACAGCATGACCCTTGCGGTACGGGCTCTCGTCGAGCTGTTCCGTCTAGTGGGCCGCGAGCAGGAGCTTGATCGTCAGATCCTCGCCTTCTCTGTCTCACACGACCACCAGATGGTATACATTTACGGCCACTACCCGGTAATAGATGGGAAGGATACAAAGTACTACCGTCACCCCATTCACCAGTTTTCATTCATTGCATTAGACGGCAAGGAGAAATGGACAACATATCAGTTCACGAAGAATATATACCATCACTGGATGCCAGCTCACCTCAAAAACATCTGCTCCGCCATTGACCAGTTGCCATCTGATCTAGACTTTGGCATTCGATCGTCTGAGCAACCCGGATCCCTCCAGAACCTAGAAAGCCACCCTTTTTCGCAGTCGGATGGGACGTCCGATCCCATCATAATAGATAGACAGCCAAGCAGTACCGATCAGCAGGGGTTTACGCCAGCCACTTCATTGATGGGAGGAGGGCCAGCTAAGAGGAGGAAAAGCCCAGTTAAGAGAACATAGGCCTACAAGTGTTATACAGTGCTAGTGCTCGTCTTAGCATTATCATTACCCGGCTCAGCAAGTCTCCACTGCATGAAAGAGGAACTCCACGCTGGCGTGGGTGTTGATGCAGTACAGCCGCTGATCCAGCTGTATATCTCTATCCTACTCCTTGTAACGATTTGAAGTATACATGGTTATTTATTGCATGGATTGTATGTATCATACATGAACAGTAGTAGTTATAGAAACAGACGAAGACGGCAGGCAGATGGCAGTGATAGTGATAGTAGTACATAAGGCGGGGATGCATCGAGCGTCCCTTGCTTTCAAAGTGGTCCCCAGACGGCACACGACACCAGACCCAGACATAGGGTGTAGTGCCAATGCAAAGAGTAAGATGTAAAGAGTAGATTATTTGTCCCTCCCCCAGAGCTCCTTGCGGAGCTGTCTGTCCTCGCGGGCCATCGTCCGCTTGAGGCCCCATCGCGACTGTACGGCCGTCAGGATCTGTCTCTGGATGGCCTTCTTCTCCCCGGCCGCCTCGCAGGCCATGCCCACGAAGAGCGTGCTGCACCCAAACTTCTCCGCCAGCCTGTTCCGGCTCCAGAGCATGGGGTCACTCTTCCGCAGCTCCCGCATCGTCTCTATCTCCTCCTTGGTCAGGTACTTCTTCGGCTCCTTCTCCGCCTGCAGCAGGGATGGTAAGGCCTCGCTGCTGATGTTTGCTGCTGTCGAGTCCTCGAGGTTTCTTCGTAGTGTCCGCCGTACGTCGTCTGCGGGCAGGAACTTGGTGGGTGTGAGATATACCGAGGGTGCGCTAGAGGGCGGGTTGTGGATGATGTGTGCTGCTGAGGAGCTGGAGGGAGAGAACGAGGCGTCAGGCTTTATCCGCAGCCGTTTCTTGGTCCGCCGGTAGGTCGACTGCCATCGTCGGCTGGTCTGTGACTGAATTTCGGGGCAGAGAAGCAGGTTGGCCACCGGACGGCGCGTCAGAGCAGCCGTGCAAGCCATTGCAGCTGTTGCTCTCGATATTTGCTGACCTGGTATATGTCTTGTCTCGATTGTCTGGATATCCGTCTATAGCTTGCAGAACTGCTCAATTGGAGGGAGAAACGGGCAGCCAGACAGCACGTCGAGTAAAGCAGCCTCAGACCGCAGAGAAGATGCCGATTGGAGTCTTTTTCCTTGTCCTTTTCCTTGTCTCTTTCGTCTTCGTCTTCGTCTTCGTCTTTTTTGAAGCCAAAAAAAACTTTCGATGGGATCAAAAATGGTCACGTGAAAAGAACATGTCACGTGAAATACTTTTTTATATTGTGTATCAACTTTACAGCTTGTAACGAACACACACGGGAGCAACTGCAATAAAATACGTCATTACCATACACGACGTCATCTTGAAAAACCAACAAAACAACAAAAAGACGAAGAAGAAGAAGAAGAAGAAGGACGAAAAAGAAAGAGAAAAAAGACATCGACGGCCTCAAGAGCTTCATGGTTGCTCGCCCAAGACGCCTGTCGGTCGCCCAAGACACACGCATCGCTCGTCTCGCTGCCAGCTGAACCGGCGCAGCTCTCGACTGCCTCCCCCAGACGGAGCCTTTGGCCTGCATCCTCCTCCCCGTCGCTCCTCTTACTCCGTCCCAGCCGCCAGCGAGGTCGAAGACAAGCGACAGCAGCAACAGTCACAGCCACAGTCACAGATGGCACAGATGGCGCTGACCATTCCTTCTGGCGCGCGGGGTGCAGACCTGGCCACAGAGAACATACTACCGTCCCAGCAGCTGTCTGCTACGACTACGACTACGACTACCACCAAGACTACCACGCCAGACGCTGCGCCGCAGAAAGCCTCCAGGCAGACGTCGCACCACCCAGACAGCCAGGGTCAGAGCCAGAGTCAACGCCAGAGTGCAGGGGAGGACGCCAGAGAAGATATAAGCCAGGAAGAGGAACAGGAACAGCCTCCCAAGACCAACACTCCCAGGCCCAAACCGCTCTCAACCATGGCTGGCAGACCAGTTTCGCCTCTGCCCCTGGGCTCGCTCAGTCCCAGCCGGGCGTCCGTCTCTCCCCATCGCGCCAGACATGCCTACATGACGCCGACCTCACCCAGCAGACAGCTCAGTCCGCACTCCCAGATGCACTCGCCAGCCTCGTCCCAGATCTTCGAGCGAGACGTCCAGGAGGACTTCCCCGTCCAGACGTCGCCTGCCATCCCCTCCCACATCGTCACCGAGAACCACATCCCCCCAATCCTCGAGGCCTCCTCTGCCGCCCTGACCGACGAGAGACTCGACCCGGACTCCGTCGAGATCGTAACCCATACTCTGCATCAGCCTGCCTCTGCCGTTGTTGCGGCTGGCACGACAACAGCACCATCGTCCGCCCATCCAGGCGCTGTCGCCTCCTCCTTCCACGAGCACGCATACTACCCACAGAGTCCCTGCGACCCTGAGACAGCCTCGACCTACGGTACCGGTCTCGACTCAGCGGATATCAGGCGTCTAAGTTTCGTCTCCTTTGCAGACCTCGTCCACGGCGAACAGGTCGAGTCCTACGAGCATGCCGCAAACAGAGACTCCCAGATCATGGGCGGGCTTGCCGCGCTAGCCAACGCTCCAGCCATGAACAACACCAGTAACTACAACAATAGATCTCCTTCGCCCATGCGCTCGCCCATATCCTCTCACGGACCGGGAAGCTCTCCGCCCACCAGTGTCTCCCCCGGTGAGCCCAGATGTCTAGAAACATCCTCTCCCGGCCGTGGAGCTCGGGTTCCGTGCAGTCCTCCTCCTTGTCCCCATAGTCCATCCGCTATGCTCAGCAGCGACCTCAACGTTGAGACCATGAGACAGGCCCTGCGCCGGACCGGCAGCGGAGACCTGGGCTCCATGAGACATCCTCCCCTAAGCGCTGCTGCAAGTGACACCGCCTATGAACGACCGTTTAAGTGAATGAAAACTCGCATTTACAACACATTACTTTTGGCTATATCTCGATTTCGTCTTCTTCTTTTCTTCCAGCTTCTTTTTTTTTCTATTTGGCGGTGCAAGCCCAGTTTCTCTACGGATTACTTATACTCACTTTTTTGCCACCTCTTGTTTCTACCTCCCGGTTTGATACCTATTTCTGTTCCTACTTATCTACCTACTTCCCTCTGCCATTATCGCCCACCGGTACATTTTCTTTTTGCTTGTTCGATGTTTTCTGGCGGTTCTGGCTTTTATTTACTTGTAATCTACACGTTTTGCGCTCTCCTTTTTGCACTTTGGTTCCTGGGAAATCCAACGGCCATTTCAGCTCATGATCCTTCTTCATATAGTTTCTCTCTCCATTCCTTTTATTTAAATGTCCATCCTCATTCGTCCATCGATAGTTGATATCTCTAGGCGTGAGTACCCCCAGCGGGCATATAACTAATAGACCCTCACCTTTATCAGTAACATAGCTCCATGCTGAACCTTTTTCAGGTGCTCTTCCCCAATTTCTCCACTGCTTCAAGAGCATGTGTGATTCTCTTTTTCATATCATCAACGTCTTCAAGTCCGACGCTGATCCTCACCAGATCAGACGGGACGTTCAGGGATTTGGCCTACATGTCATAGTTGACGTCAGTATGAGATCAACACAAACACACATGGCATAACAGCCTTATAGCCTTGCTTCAAAACATACCCAGTCCAGTTCCTGATAATGCGCCAGGATAGTATACGGACAGCTTTTTGACACGTTAGCCGCATAAAAACACGAGAAAGAAGGAAGAACAAACCTAAGAGTAAAATTGGTCCCTAGACTCGGGCCCTTTAACACCGCAAGGTTGTCAAAAAACGCTGCAGCTGCCTCGGGCGTATGGAAGATAACCGAAAATAAACCGCCATAGCCACCATCGTGGTTACGGCATCGGTCGTAAAATGCCCTCGTTGGGCTGTTCTTCGGGTAAAATACATCTTTGACTATACGAAGCAAATCAGCAATCAAGTCATTCGAATTTATACCCGAAGAAAAGCAAAAAATGTTATCATATTCGACGCAAAAGAACCTACCTAGAGGCGAAGATTCAAGCAAAGACGTCAATATCTCTGCTGATCTGTTAATCCGCTCAACACGACAGACAAAGTCCCGGCTGTTACGCTCCAGGAAAACTGCATCCTCCGCCCAATAGTCATCCTCATACTCCCTTGCCAGAACCTCTTTGAACAGCGGGTAGAACTGTCCATGCGGGTTGAACACCGCACTGCCACCCATAACATTGCTGTCTCCGCTGAATATCTTCGTCAGGCTGCTGACCACCACATCGGCAAAGGGCAGCACATTCACATTGATGAAGTTGCCCAGCGATTCGTCCACGACAACCGCAAATTCGTATTTCTTCGAAAGGGCGTGTATCCGTTCGAGATCCGGTGATCGAAGCAGCGGGTTCCCAGGGAACTCGGTAAATAGAGCGAGGTACCGTTCTCCTGACTCCAGGCGTTTCTCAAGATCATTTATCTCCTCAGTTGAACAGAGACCATAAAATTGCACCCCCGGACCCCATTTCTCAAGTATCTTCAAAGTATCGATGTATGGGAATCCAAAGCATATGCTTTTCATGGGTCCACGGGACTTAAGCAGGAGCTGGTGGACGTTGAATATCGAGTTCATTCCTGTAGGGTACAGGAAGATATGCTCTTCATTGAGTCCCGGGATGCGAGCGTTTTCAGGTTGGTGGGATTCTGCATCTGCAGACAACGTCCCTGCAATCCGTCGTTTAACCGCTAGCTTTGCATTGTTCGCCAGGCACATGTCCAAGTTGCGACCAAAGCGCTCTTCGATAAACTGGCTGAATTCTCCCTCACCAGTAAGCGACACGGGCTCAGCTTGTTTTGCCGGGCCGTGAGATTCTACCTTCTGGTATCGCTTTGGGCCCTTATGGATGACGTTGCTGTCTGCCTTTGCACTTTTGGCCTGTGCCTGAGATTCTTCAACAAGGTAGCCATCTTTCAGTGCTTTAAGACAGAATTCACCGCGTCTGCTTGAGATTCCAGATCCACTATGTTGCCACACCTGCTTCGAAATACTGCCATACTTCTGCGGATAAAGCACGGCACAAAGCTCCGATGAGATGCCATTAAGCTCTGCAGGGGTAATCTGCGGCGGCATAACCAGCCGCACAACACGTACGTTATGTTTATCTTCTTCAGGCACCTTTGACAGGAGGAAGTCCCTACAGCATGAAGCAGTTTTGGGGGATGGGAATAGCATAGCTGCGTCTCCCTGTCGGCCAAACCGAGTAATCACCTCATCTGCAAGACATTGAATGCTCTTATGAACGAAGAATCGTGGGTATCCCGTAGTCATGGCATTGATCACTTTTGCATCTCCTTCTTCGTATCCTATGTTTGATTCCCATGTTGGAAGAGATACGCTTATCGCCTACATATAGATCATCAGCAACCGTGGTCAGGGGGCGTATATTCCAGAGCATTGCAGGAGCCAGTTCACATAAAAAAGTGTAAGCAGGCGTCGATTTTCACTTGCTAAAGGAGGCATTGATCCTAATGTAGACCTCTCTATGCTCCCCCAACTCATGCTTGATAGTGACTCATTTAGGGGGGTATCACTTACATGGGCGGTGTTTGGAGGGACTGAACCCCCAACAGGCTGGTCGACAGACATGGAGTATGAGTTGGTAGTAGACCTGATATATCTCCTGTTCTTGGATAGAGGGTATAGAGTAGTAGATGTGCTGTGATGACTAGACCGTGTTCCTTTAGTGAGATGGGATGTCCAGGGATCATTCCTGGTAGTAAGATAAGAGAAGGCCTTCAGAGAACAGGACAGGGTCTATCCGCAGGAAGTTATATGCTCCCACAAACAACAACAGCCATTGACAAAAACCAAATCAGTCATTCAATCGTAAACTCATCAAAGAGTAAAAGATGCAATAAACAAAAACAGCCTTCAATATCAAAAAGAGGTGAGAAAAGACGCCGACCTCGGTGTTATTAGTCACTCGTCACATACTTACATTCGTAATTTATACTCCTCACCTGAATTTCGTAATTAATCTGCCAAGTCTAGTAATACAGATACAACATTTTTTCTATCAAAAATTTAAAAATTATGCGACGCTGATAACAATTTTGAAAGCTCAAAAGGAAGAAGAAAACACAACAAGCGGCGCAATGTCGGGTCCTACTCTTAAACGGAGAAAGCTGGGCTCCGGAGAGGGAGAAGACAGCACCAGCGTACCAAAGAAACAAAAATCGCCGGCTGTCCAGCGCAATGGACGGGCCAGCAACTCTGCAGCCGAGTATGCACTCGCGCGTGGACAGTACAAGTCCAGCATGTTCAAGCTCCAGATAGACGAGCTGCTCGGTCAACTGCGCCCTGACTACGATAAACTCCTTTCCCGAGTCGAAAAGAGCCTGCGAAAGCTGAAGACTGTCATTGAAGAGATCCCAAACGGCACACCAAAGACACTCGCCGAAGCGAAGAAGGAATTCGAATCTTCAAAGGTTGCAATTCCATTTCCAGAGCCTCCACCGGCCAAGGATATCCGATATACCTTTGAATATACCAAGCCGACAGATATAAATGTTGTGGGGAGCTTTGCGATGAAGACAATGGCCAAGGGACAGGGACCTACCCATATCGATTTGGCCGTCACGTTGCCCGCTACGCTCTTTCACAAGAAGGATTATACAAGCTATCGGTACTTCTACAAGAGGGCATACTACCTTGCTCGCATTGCAGCAGCGATTGAAGCTGCGGATGATGTGGACTATGCTACCAGTTATACATATCAGGACGGAAGTACCCTTCGGCCAGTTCTTTTACTACAACCAGCAGACGGTGCAAAGGATGATTTTTCACGCTCAAATTGTGTCATTCGCATAATAACTGCGGTTGAAAAGGACACTTTCTCCTTTTCACACACTTTACCATCACATAACAGCCTTCGACTTGACAATGAAACCGAGCTCAAATCAATTGGGACCAACTCGACGCATATTTATAACGCATCCCTTCGTTCAGAAGCGGTGGTTAGTGCGTACCTCAAACTCCATCATTCTGCTGGCGTCAAGTGCGCTGCATTCAAGGATTCATGCATCCTGGGTCGGGCCTGGCTTCGTCAACGTGGATTCGGAGCCTCTTTCGCTTCAGGCGGATTCGGCCACTTTGAATGGGCCACTCTCCTTGCTCTTCTCCTAGAGGGCGGTGGTCCTAACGGAAAATCCGTGCTCGCTCCAAGCTACAGCAGCTACCAGATTTTCAAGGCAACACTCCAGTTTCTCTCCGGCAGAGATCTTACGAAACCACTTCTGATCCATGCTCCAGAAGGGTTAGGTACAGTGACTGATACCGGCTTCCCTGGCCTTTTTGATGGGAAGCGAGGTTTAAATATCCTATATAAGATGACGCCTTGGTCTTATAAACTCCTGCAGCGTGAAGCCACATTGACTCTAAAAATGTTGAATGACTCAACCCGTGATCATTTTGATAGTATTTTTATCACAAAAGTCAGTGACGCCTTTTATAGGTTTGACCAAGTTACAGCTATTACTCTACCCGGACGCCGCCCACCAACAATCCAGGCAGCCGAGCGACTCCAGTCTCTTCATCGAGTTTTAACCAAGTCTCTTGGGGATCGAGCCACAACGATAGACCTCACTTCGGGAGAATTGCCGAGCTGGCCCGTCAAATCCATTTCACCATCGAAGGAGAACAAAAAATGGGTTATAACTGCCGGTTTGAATCTTGATGCCGCTAATCAGGGTCGCAGCATTGACCATGGACCTTCTGTCGAAGACAAGGAAGAATCGGCTGCTTTCCGAAACTTCTGGGGTGATAAAGCCGAGCTACGTCGATTCAAGGACGGCAGTATCAAGGAGAGTTTGGTGTGGTCCGATCAGGCATCTTCTGGGACTCCCGTCCAACAAATATTGACCTACATTCTTCAACATCACTTCAAGGTCACTCCAGAGAATATTGTCTTTATGGCAGCAAACATCAGCCAGGCTATTCCTGGCATCTCAAATGCGCTATCGATGACCCAAACCTCTGAACCAGTTCTAGAAGCTTTCCAGAAACTTGAAAGACATTTCCAGTCAGATGAGAGCCTCCCTATTGCTTTCAGCCAACTACTTTTAGCCACCCCCCTCCTTCGATGCTCCCCCGACTTACCCGGAGCTCCTATGGACGCAATCCTTCTATTTCAATCTTCCTCTCGTTGGCCTGATGATTTAGGCTCTATTCAAATGACCAAGGTGGCTTTGCTTCTCAAGGTGGAAGAGTCAATCCGCAAAGCAGACGGCGTTATCCAAGTCAGAGTTGGAACAGAAAACCACGAGAGCAACCTACTGAATACATCATTCCTTGAGGTCCATTACTCCTCCTTTATAATATTCCGCCTGCGTATCCACCATGAACCAGAGCAGTCTATCATACAGGGCCAACTGAAGAGCAAGGATTTACCTGCGAGGAAAAAAGAGGAGCTCGCTGTTGCTCTCGCCGCTTATAAGGCAACTTTCCTCCAAGCACCCCGCCATGCTCAGGCACTTCAAAGTCTTTCAAATCGTTACTCGCTACTCCCTATCGCGATCAGGATGCTAAAATCTTGGACAGGCGCCCACCTCCTGGCTCCGTTTATACGTGAAGAGCTGCTAGAGCTCCTAACTTGCCAAATATTCCTCACTTCCTACCCTTGGGATGCCCCTTCAAATGCATTCACAGCTTTCCTTCGAACTCTACACATGATGTCCAAGTGGGATTGGCAGCATGAGCCACTCATAGTTGACTTTGGTGGCGAACTTGAGAGCCAGGACTTCACAGATATCCGTACCCGCTTTGAGGCATGGCGAAAGATTGACCCAATAATGAAAAATGTTGCTCTTTTTGCTGCCTCGAATATCGACCCAGACGGTGTTACGTGGACACAGCACAGCCGTCCACCGAGAATCATCGCATCTCGAATGGCCATGTTAGCCAAGGCTGCATCAAAAGCTGTTCGAGAAAAGGGCGTGGATCTGGACGTTGGTGAACTGTTCCGATCTCCTGTAGACGACTACGACTTTCTACTTCATCTAAGCCCATCATTCGTTTCGGACCACACAAAGAAAGCCGCCTACAAGAATCTCCAAGATTCAGCCTTGACTTCCGAGTATGTCAAACACGAAATGGTTCGTGATCTTGTTGCAGAGCTTAGCAGTATATACGGAGAGCACATCCTGTTTTTCCATGGTCATGCTAGTGAGAAGGTGATAGCAGGCCTTTGGAACCCGCAGACAACAAAGACACAACCGTTTGGTCTTAAAATTGGATTTTCATCTTGCCCGACAAAGACCAAGGATGGAGAGGAAGTGGCTTTGAACAAAAAGGCAATTTTGAATGAAATTGCATCTATAGCAGGGGATATCATTTCTAAGGTACAGGTGCTCCATTGAATCGATTTTGAATGCTCGTAGAAGATAAAACAGAAGATGACGATGAAATTTGGTGTATAATGTGATAGCAAAAAGAGCCCTCCATTGGTGGCAGCAAAAAAATTATGAATACCGCTTACATTAATTATCCATTTATTTTTCGCATTTCCATGCAAATTCATGATGTTATAGATAAGAGGGTATGTTTAAAAGAAACCTCGTCGGCTCCCTTTATCGGTTTGTGTTGAGAAGGAACAGTAGCGGTCCTTGATGGCCACAACTTCATACGTTCCCTCATCTGATGCTTTGATAGTCTTCGTGTGCTCATGAGAAATATCATTCTTAGTGTCGAGGATAACTCGCTTCCTGCCTTTACCATCATTGGAACTGCGGGTATAACTAGGAAATATCTGTTAATACATGAATGTTCAGTATTGAGAGTTGAGAGTTAACTTACGTGAACTCAAAAGGAGGAGTTCCCCAGAATTCAAACATGATCTCCGCTTCACCACCTTCGGGAATGTCCACAACGGATACTCCGCCACGACTTATTCTAACGCTGGGCATTTGATGTATTACCTTGGTGATATTCTTATGAACTCGGCACCTTCCACTAGCTCCATCACTGACTGATGTGATTTTGAATTCACCAGGCATTTCCGCAATACGCCGGAAGGTAGTGGCCTGGCTCTTCGCCTTTCTCGCCACACCATCAAATGTGTAGTAGATTTCAAACGGTGCATGGCCGGAGAGAGAGAAAGAAATTCTCTCACCAACACAGTAATCCTCTCTTGATTCAAGAGGTATGATGGTTGGTACGTCAGAGATAGAAACTCTGACGGATGAACCATCAAATTCAGTCGCCCTCTGGCAGCCACGAGCGTCCCGGACTTTGCGTATGCTTATGACATGTTGTCCAAGGTCCAGGTATTGGCGAGGGACGGGAAGTGCATATCGGTTTGAATTGATGTTGGGTATAGAAAGGAGCTCCGGCTTAGCGCTTGAATGGTGCTTGACAGCAAGTTCCAGTGTGAATGGAGGCACTCCTTCCAGTATGATCGGGATTGTCTCGTCTTCCTGCTCTTCCTCCTTGCAGAATCCGTAGACCTTGCTAGGAGACTCAAACCGAGCTGATGGGCGCGGATTCACCTTCTGAGTAACAATAACTGGATCCTTTACTTTCTTCTCAGGGCTATAGAGGTTATCGCCAATCTCCAGGAACTTGTAAGTGTAGTTTCCAGCTACGGTAGTTCGCATTGGTATCGAGGCAGAGTTAAGGGCGGCAGTGAGGCTCCTCATACGGGAGGTTGGGTTCGAATTCCCGGCCTTGTAGCTTTCTTCGTATCGGACTGTGTAAGGGCGGTTGCCGCCAAATTTCAGCTCCAAGGAGTTCACGTCACCTTCACATACTTCATCCTTTGCGATAGTAGTCTGGGTTCCCAGCTTAACACCATCAACCTCGGTAATTTTAGGACGGGAAATCCAGGAAACTTCGAAAACATGCGCCTTTTGATCAACTGATCCAGGGCAAGTTGCATCTGACAGTCCAATTATTTCATATTGTCCTTGATCTGTTACTCGAAGGACACTGTTCGCATTCCAAAAGGTTTTCTCCACGGGGCTAGCGGAGGGAGTGAGCTTGTTCTGGTACTTCACTTTCCATGGAGCTTCACCCTCTAGCCTCAAAGGAAGATCCACAGCCTTACCCTCCAAAGCAAGGACGTTTCGTTTCTGATCTATCTGTCCGAACGCCACGCGCGGTCTCTTTGGTCTGGCTTCGATTCGAATCTCCTCCTTTAAGGCTCTCTTGCAGTTCGATCTGTCTCTAACGCTGGTGAGACCAACGGTGTAAACGCCGCCATTAACGAGGTCTGCAGTGGAAAGAGACGCAACATCGGTGTCACTCTTCAGTTCATGCTTTTTCCTTCTTCCGTTGTGTACGACCTCGTAATTCAAAATCCATGGCGGCTCGCCCACAAACATCACATCCATCGAAACAGGTTCGCCGAAGCAGGCTTTGCGGCTTGTGAGAGGTCCGACAAATTGCGCAGAGGCGGGAGGCTTCACATCCTGTTCTAGAGCTGGTACACTATCTTTCAGCGATCTAGCCTCATAAATGCGATCAGATATATCCAGGAATCTATATTTGTAGTGTCCTTCCTCTGCAGGCTTTAAGTCAAGCTGTCCGTGCAGGCCGTTGATGGTGTGTACTCTAGTTTGCACGCCCTTGGAGTGTTCAATAGAATACCTGACCCTGAACGGCGGTGTTCCGATCAAATCAAGGTATACGAGAAGACCCACGGAGTTGTTGGCGCAAGTATCATAAATCTTTTCGTGGCGAATAGCTAGCTGTGGCTCAGCTGGGTTGTGTAGATAGCAGGACGAGGGCTCAAAGACTTCGCCGCGACAGTATGGGCTAGAAATACCAGTAATACTGTACCAACCAGAAGCTTTGATTCTAGGCTTGTTGTTGGCGTTTTTGAATTCATATTCATGAACTGATGTAGGTGGTTTTTTATCGGCATCCTCCCCAGATTCAGAAAAGGAGTAACTGAGAGTGAAGGGGAAATCCTTATTCTGACCATATCCAGTATCATGGAAATGAACAGGCAGGTCAATTGACTCTCCCTTTGCGATTTGAAGATACGTTTGGGTATCACAGCCGGCCAGGGAGACGCGAGGCAGTTCGTGAACGAAAAATCGTTGAGATTGTGGGTGGTGCTGAGACCAGAGACTCTCGTCGATATCTGGGTTTTGAGTATAATTGACAACGTTCCCACAGCCGTCATGGACTTCCTCAATGGCATAAGTCCATTCACCAAATGCGGTTAGAGATTCGTTAAGGGGAACCTCTACTTTCTGCTGGCGAGCCCATTTAAACTTAGCTAGCATTGGATTGATTGGCGTCTCTTCCGATTCTGGTAGCTTCTGGTGAATTTCCGGTTGAATACTCTGGAAAGAGATTCCCTGATCTATGGGGGTGACTGTTCGACTGTATTTTATCTTGAACGGCGGGGTTCCGTGCAATGACATAGTAAGATCCGATAGCTCGCCTCTGCATTTGTGGGCTCCGCGAGTCAGCATCGAAGCTTTCGGGCAGGCGACAACGAGGGTATCCATAGAACGATGATGAACAGCAAGCTTGGACTCATCCACCACTTTTTTGATCTGATAAACACCAGTTTTGCGCACAGGGTAGAGAAGGTCCAACCATTCTCGCTGCTCCGATCGAGGATGATTTTGACTGGCCTGACGCCTAAGAGTTTTGGCCTGTTTTTCAGGGATAACGATGGTTTCATTTGCACCCGTTTCGAGATCAAAGCGCAGAATTTCTATGAGGATGGGATTGGTCTGGTTAACTCGGATAGGGAGGTTGACAGATGAATGCGCGTGACCGAGGCATAGTGGGACCTTATCCGGGTTCAGGATGGCAGAACTAGATAGGTAATTCAGCAACTGAATGTAAAGCGAGAGCATCACAGAGGTACGTACCCTTCCGGCAGGATATGGACGATATGTTTACCCAGGATCAAGGATGAGTTGTGTAGGATGTCATAAGGCTTAACTCGCTGCCCAGAGATAGAAAGCTCTCTGTCATAGGCCATTTTGAACAGAGAGACCAACCAGGCTTCCATCGGTAGCTGTTTTGTCGTACTTCGTCAGTACACGGTATCCCAATTGCTGCTATGTTCATCTGACGTACCGGGATCTTAAACATCAAGAACACATTAATCACCACATGAACCAGAAAGATGGCCAGTGTAGTTGAAAATGCCCATTCTAACCATGGAATCCGCAGAATAGGCAGGCCAAAAAGATATGTAGCATCTATTAACAGCCATTTCAAAAACAGCCAGGTCGCATCCCCCTCATCCGTCGACACCCAATATTCGTAAAACCGCCATGCATTCAACGCAGCATAAAATGCAACAACATAAAGCCTCTGTGCAGGCGCATCGACAATGTGAAACGGTATCAAAGGCCGATTTTGAGGTGGAGTGGCGTTGGCAGGCCTCACAACAGCTCTGGCGCTGGCGAAGTTGATCTTGCTTCCCCGGCCAAAAGGTATGGGCGTGACGTTTTGGCCATGGTAGCCGGTGGAGGTTCGAGGAGTCCGGGGGTTGGAGCGAGGTGTTCGAGGGAAGGCCGAACGTAGTTGGGGAGTGTCACTCATTGCATTATGGTCTCTGCAGGGCCCCCTTTGATTATCGTGTTTCGTTCGCTGGTGAGGCCGGTCAGAGGTCGAGACGCGTGCCAGGTACCATCCAGGCGGCCGTCAGAGGGTATTCTACCGCCGGTTCCAGTACAAGTTCCGCCGCTGTATCTCCTCCAGGGGATTTCCAAGGCAGTGCACAGTGTTAATGAGTGTCGTAGATGGCGTATAACCCGTCAGACCTTCGTGTTCGTCTTTGTCGCTTGAAGCTGTTTTTTGATGTTGATAATCGTTTTTTATTTTTATGCAGCACCGATTGGGTTTAGCGCGGTCACGGGCCAAAGTTTCTTCCGACCAAGCAAAGAAGACGAGGACGACGAGAGCAGACAAAGTAGCTGGCAGATGAGAGTCGAGGAAGAGGAAGAAGATAGTTACTATAGGAGAAGAGCGAGAAAAAGGCAGGGGAATGGCTGGTAGTCAGAAGAACACCACCGCGGAGGAGTGGTTCATGCCCCTGACCAGCCAGGAGAAGGACAGCTGGAACGGCTTCTGCGAGATCGAGAATGAGCCAGTACGTGTCTACGCGATGATGATAGATTATCCTACATAGAAGGGAAGAGAGTAGCTGACTGAGCGGCAGGCAATCTTCAACGCGATGCTAGAGGACTTTGGCGTCAAGGGGGTCAAGGTGCAGGAAGTAGTGTCGCTGGACGAGGAGATGCTGGCCTTTTTGCCGTATGTTTATACCCCTGGGCTACCTAGTAATCTAGTGGCTAGTTACTATGCAGAATAACTGCTGATACACGGACATAGGAGACCCATCTACGGTCTGATCTTTCTCTTCCGTTGGAGAGAAGACGACCAGTGCAAGCAAGAGCAGAGCTGTCCTGAATCGCTCTGGTTCGCCAATCAGGTAAATCGATACACATATTTCGTACCTCGTACATGTGCCATGCAATAAATGACTATAAAACTAATGAGGTACCCTGTAGACGGTGGAAAACGCATGTGCCACTGTTGCATTGCTCAATATCATCAACAACATCAAAGGCATCGAGATGGGAGAGCAACTGAAGTCGTTCCGGAAATTCACCCAAGACTTCAGTCCTGCCATGCGCGGCTATACGATTGGCAACTTTGAATTCGTCAAGCAAGTACACAACTCGTTCGCCAGGTAAGGTTTCCGTTAGGCATAACAGAAGTACCAGCTCGTCTGCTGACGGGTACATACTCCATACAGGAAAATGGACATTCTCAACACAGACCTGCTGCTTAAGAATCAGCAGGGGAGGAAGGCTAAGGGTAACCAAGAGCCAGACAAGTCCGAAGCAGGCTTCCATTTTATTGCATTTGTCAAGGCCAAGGGGAGGGTATGGAAGTTCGACGGCCTAGAACGGCAACCCCAGAGTCTCGGTAGGTCATCTGTCACATCCAACCCCCCAGGCCTCTTTGCCTCCCAAGCATTTATGCCTAACAGCGACCAGGAGAATGCGTCGAAGGAGACTGGCTTGGGCTGGCGACGAAAGAAATTCAGACGAGGATGGCAGACTATGAAGAAGAAGAAATCGAATTTTCCATCCTCAGCCTGTCCAAAGACCCGATGACTGTATACCTGGCCGACCTGGCATCCAATGTCAAGGCTCTCCAGCATATAAATAGCCGTTTATCCGAGCTCGGAGAAAACTGTGACGAGGCAGACCAGGAGAACGCCACGCTAGACGGTCCAGACGCGCAGTACGGGCTGACCCTGGACATACTCGAGCTCGCATTGGTGCCCAGCGAGCTAGCGGAGGCAACCGAGAACGGCAGCAAGGCACACGACCTCAACTCGCTTGCGCGCCAGCGCCAGGCCCTGGTCGAGCAGCAACGTCTCCTCCGCACACAGATAAAGGACGAGCAGCGCAGCAGGCAGATGGAGCTTGATTACGCCCGCAGCCGCCGCCACGACTACAACGCTGCCGTTCATTGCTGGACTCGCCTTCTCGCGCGCAAGCGGAAGTTCGAAGAGCTGATTATCTAAGAGCTTACCTAATAATTTCTTAGGTAACATTGAGTAGTAAGTCATAACAAGGGTCAGCTGACCAAGTCCGTGCATTTCGCCCCTTTTTTTGCTTTTTACTTTTTTGTATTTTTTTTTCCTTGTGATATCAAAGAGAAGCAGTAGAGGTTATTAACTTCATAGTTTCCAGCAGATAAAAAAAAAGGCGAAGAAATATAAAGGCCTGGAGATAGCCAGACGAGACTGAAAAGGAGAAGACACCCGATGAGCTTGTTGACAAAGCGCTGTCAGGATGAAATTCGGCCACAATTACGTGAGCACCCTCGAGAATGAGGGCTTCCCTTCGCAGTGGGTGAGGTCGGCTATCTCGTACCGCCAGCTGAAGAAGTGCATCAAGCGGGTGCAGAGTGAGCTGCTATCACTAGGCCTCAGTCCTGATGTGCTCAACCGCTTCTGGCTCGCAGAGGACGCACGCCTGACTGATGGCGAGGGAGATGGTGGGCTGGCCCGTGTGGGATTTGCATATTCGCTCAGGGGTATGTACAGACATCTCGACCAAGCGCTACCCTGGCTTCGAACATGGGCGATCGCTCCCTCTCTTTTTTATGTGCCAGACAAGTTTGTACTTATACAGAACAACAGAATGTAAATCTTCCTCGTCTCTGCGCCCCGTTCTGACGTTCGCCATGGGCCCGGACGATAAGCCGCCCCGCGAACTGCTTAGATATCCAGCCATCGCGCACACGGACAGCAGCAGTATCAGGTCCAACAGCACGAGTAGCAGCACGAGCAGCAGCGGCGGAAACAATCCCTGCCCAGGTGAATCCGACAGCTCCTGCACCACGAAAACTGACGCGGACGGGCCCTATCAGTCAATCGAGATCCCCCTCTCCTCCGACTCAGAGTTCTTCCGCCTGCTCAAAGCTGGCCTCTCCAACCTCGAAGATCTGCAGGCGCACGAAAAAAAGGACCTTGACAATCAGGTCGCCCTGCTGCGCCAAAGTATCGTCGAGGTCACAAGCCCGACGACGACCACTAAGAAGACTGACCAGGCCGCCATCTACGCCTGGCGCGAGGTCTTTCGCATCTACATGGAGATGCAGGTCTTCTTCTCTACAGGGGAAGCAGACTGCGGCGAGCGGTCGTCAGAGGTTGCCCGCCAGCGTCTCGAAGCCTTCCAGACGCAACTGGTCAAGGAGCAGCACGCCAAGAAGCTTGGACGCAGCGGCCGGCGCGCCCTTGAGATGTTTATGCATATCAACCTCACGGTGCTGCAGAATCTCAAGTTCCAGGAGATCAACGGCATGGCGCTCAGCAAGATCCTGAAGAAGTTTGACAAGCAAACAGCGCTCCACGCCCGATCCGCATTTACCAGGACGGGGCCCCTTTCTGTCAACAGCCTATCAAGGACCGTCTGTCAGGCAATCTCCGAGCAGATATTAGTAGTTGTGCCTCAGCTGGACGACTACCTATGTCCAGTCTGTTTCACCATCTCTTTCAAGCCGGTCAGGCTGAAATGCGCGCACGTCTTCTGCATCCGCTGTCTGGTTGTCATGCAACGCGCGCAACAGAATCACTGTCCCATGTGCCGAGCCGAGGTCGTCATGGAGGCAACGAGCAGTAGGTTTTCACCTTTGCCTTTGTACATTCTTAGCATATATGTTGTCGTCTTAAGATATAGAGTAACCCTAACAACGTCATGTAGAAAACCTCGATCAAAAGCTGTTGACCTTCTTGCAGTCATCCTTCCCCAAGGAAACCAAGGCCAAGCAGAGGGAGAACGAGCGAGCCGCGATGGTAGACATCTACGGCGAGCCTACCGAGGTATGCAACATGATGTAACGCAGCCCAGCAGCTCACTGTTTCCCGTTTCAATATGCCATCTACCCCTGACGATAGCCATGCTCTCGTCGTCCCTGCAGGAAGGTACTATATCCGGCCTACTTATACTTACATATGGAGCGCCGCGTATACGTACGGGGGAACATCCGCATGCCCACAACACTTTATATTTACCTAAGTATACGGAGTATGTATGCAGCCGATATCACGGCGGATGTGAAGGATGGACATCCGGGTCGGCAAGCCATCTCGGTTACGCTCATCGGCCCTATTTCGGTGACTCCGTTGGTCCACTATTGGGCTAACTCACAGATCTCATTATGTCTGTCATCATCGAGCTTCCCCAAAGTCCTTCAGGCGAAGCGTCCGCCAGGTTCCACCAAAAGTTTGACACGGTGCCAAGGATGGACTATTTATGCATAAGACGACTACGCCAGCGCCAACTTGATACCAAAACACACCCTGTTCAGGAAATATCTTATTTGCTGGACATATATACCAAGTCGACAAGCAAATTCTCAACTCTCCTCCCTAATCCTGACAGGAAATTAAGAAAAAGAGCGGTGGAAAAAAGGGGGTTCGTCTCTCGCGCCCTTCAGCGACCCTTCGGCCAGATAATTCAGCGTCTCCGGCCGCATCCACTAATTTTTGTTTTCTGTCCTTGGGCTGAGCTGATACTGACCCTGGAAGCTAATATAAGGCGCCTTCGACCGAGAGGCAAAAATAAAAAGTCCCTTCATCCATAATCTCTGTCCCTAGAGCAGCTCCATGGAGCCAGGGTGACCCCAGCAGCTTCGAACGGAAGACTCCTTTTCGCTGGGAACGAAAAGAAGTCTCTGCGCCTGCTTCTTCTTTTTCTTCTGCCTTACGGAGTACTACTTCTCCCTCCCTCCCGTCCGTCTTCCCCGGGCCGCTGGGATGGGACGCGCAGCAAATGGGTCCTCCGCAACGCAACTGGCATCATCCTCGCCGGCCAGGGGTATGCTGCAACTCGTCGCCAGACCCCAGCTCGCCATGGGCGCACTACCGTTGTGATATGGCGACAATGCCGGCAGGCGAGAACACTACGCCCACTTTTTGTGTATATTTAGATCACATAGTTATTAGAGCGACTATAAGTAATGCCTAGTTAATTTAATAGCACGGCTACTATTGCCTAAGATACACGAATAGCAGCGTCCATCAGCCCGTATTTTCCTCAGGCCTTACCTTGGACACGGAGTCATGCGCCAACGCTCCGTGAAGCCACGGCCAGGGATGTAGGTACTTCGACTAAACCTGGTCGCAGCAGCTTGCTGGTCCTTTTACATAGTTACTTGTGCTCTCCCATGCATGCTGAAGTAAGAAGACAGCGGGGTGAGCATTTCCATTTATCTCCATCCATCTATGAAGCTGTTGCTGGTGGACGAAGCAACATAAATAAGGAGGCTCTTCGTCCCATTTTCAATAACACTTCCGACACTTACAACCCATCTACCATCTCCCATCTTTATCTACCACCCAAGAAGAGGAAGAAGAAGAAGAAGAATTCTATCAGTCTAGCTACAAGCTGAGGATAGTCAGTGACCATGCCCGGTGTCCTGCTCAGCCAGTTCCCAGATGAGATCCTGCATAGCATCCTCACCTACACGCCGCCGTCCGCCGCCATCGCCCTCGAACAGACCTCCAAGCGCTTCTCACACATCACCAATGCTCCCTTGCTATGGGCCGGCTACTGCAAAGCCTCGTTTCGTTTCTGGGATAAGCGTCATGATATCGCCGACAAGTTTTCCAAGCCTGCAAAGAGTGTGGATTGGAAACAATTGTACAAGCTGAGGCATCAGGTCGACCGATCGACGACGGAAATACTGGACGGCATCCTCGCCAGCCAGACGGGACGCATAGAGAAGATTCATCGCATTGTCAGCTTTGGCTACGATGCTAAGGATACGCTCGTCAGACATGCTGATGCTCCTCAGGATCTTGAAGATTACTTGGCCAGGAGGTATGTCTGTATAAGCAAACCCGTGCATAATGAGTATCAAGACTAACGAACGGCATATAGATACTACAGCAATGCTATACTCGGATGTCTGCACCGAACTCTGGCAATCCCCACATGGAACAAGCTCAGAAACGGCGAGGATGTGTCTCTCGAGTACGCTCTAGGAGCTTTTGACATGTTCATCCTCGACTCTGGCACCGGAGACTTTGACGACGTAAGTCTATCACCATACAGCTATACAATACTTCTAGGGGACAAACTAACAGGAATAGATTTCGCGGAGCTTGAACAATATAGTCGGACGGATGAAACGCCAGTACCCTAATATCCTCGAATACACACCTCGAGAACGAGCCATAATGACGGCAGAATACCTTCGAGAAAACAACCTCACAGGGATCGAGTCCGGCAGGGAATTCTATAACATCGAGCACAACTTCCTAGGCGCAGCCCTCACCAGCGAACGACACAACTCCCTGCCTCTGATATCAGCAGCCATATACTGCTATGTTGCCCAGAGACTCGGCCTCGATGCCCATCCCTGTGGCTTCCCCTTCCATGTTCATGTTATCATCCGCCCGGAGCCCAACCATGATCTTGCTGGCAACCGGCTGCCAGACGGGGAAGAAGGTGACTTCATGTACATGGATCCCTTCCGCTCGACAAGTGAGACTCCCCTCTCCGAGCTGCAGAGCCAGTTGAACTTCCTCGGCGCTCTCACTTTGTCGCAGTCAACATTCCTCCGCGAGTCATTCACTGCCGAGATCGTGCTTCGATGCGGCAAGAACATCCTCAACTCCGTCCTGCAGACGCCGCACTTCCGCCAATCTTCTCTCGACATTGTTAATGTCAAGTATGCCGCTCTTTGGGCATCCATGCTCTTTGCCAAATACGCAAACCCAGATAGGCAGAACATCCCCCAGGGACCCGAACGCCGACGAGCCGAACACTTGCCTCTTCGCCGTCATCTGCCGTCTCTAATGGAGCACTTTGCTACCGATTTCCCTGCAGACGTCTATCTGATCGAGCAGTATCTCATCCCGCTGTTCCAGAGCCTTCCTGAATACGACCATCTGCGCGAGAGTGTCAGTGTAATGAAGGCCAGTGACGAGATACCAAAGCAGGTTCGACAAAGGAGCTCGGTCAACGGCAATGTCAAGTACAAAGTTGGACAACTCTTCCGGCACAAGCGGTACGAGTACATCGGCCTAATCACTGGCTGGGACCCTGAGTGCGGCGCGGGAGAACAATGGATGGAGCGTATGGGAGTTGACCGTCTCCATGCCGGACGCCATCAGTCTTTCTACCATGTCTTGTAAGTTCTTCATCTCTCTTTCCTAAAAATTGAAGACTCTTGATGCAAATGCTAACATCTCACAGGGTCGAAGATAAAAGCGTACGCTATGTCGCGGAAGAGAACATCGAGATATGCGAGCTCGAGGCCTCTGAGGTGCCAGATGCCTTCTTCAACTTTGCCGGCAAATACTTCAAGCGTTGGGACATTGAAACCCGCCGCTTCGTGAGCAACATTAGCGACGAATACCCTGACGACTAGTCAACTCTCTATTGCAATCGGCTTTTTCAAAATCATGAAAAGAGAGACAAAAAAATAATAAAATGCACCAAATTGCAAAAAAAGAAAAAACAGTATCGAAACGAACCGCAACGAAGACACGACAGTTTATGATCTCTGCTTTAATTACCATTCGGTTATCCGGGATTCCTCCGTTTAATGGATTTGTTTGCTTGTTCTTCATTTTCGGAAATGGAACTGGGAACGAAAGGGGCGTTGATATATCTGCATACCATACCACACTCCCCCCTCTGTATATTTTTATTATCATGTTTCTCTTCTTTGCTTCTGGATCTTTCTCTTCTTTCATGCTTGCTCCTTATTTCGGGGTCTATAATGTTTTCTTTTGAACTATTCAACTCTACTTCCTAAACCAGTGAATATCACCCGCCGCTTAAACGCCGTGACTTCATCTTCGTCTAATGAGAATAATTTGCCTTGCTCCAGCTGGTTAAGGATGGGTGTATCCCACGTCTGCTGCAGCAGCTTTATCAAGTTCAGGACTTCCCCTTCAAACTCGAACGGAGGATGCTCATAGATGATTCTCTTCAACTGCTCGCCGTAGTCTTCCTCTACATCTTCGTCGTTGGTCGGGCAGAGAGACTGTCTGTGCTTATCTCTTGTCTCAACCCAGCTGTGGTCATCGTCTTTGTTGCCCCATGCAAACGCCTCGTCAATGACGGCTCGTCCTGTACGACCGTACAACAGTCCTTGCTCTATAGCAGCATGTAGCATAAAAAATACAGCAATGGTGCAGACATCATCACTGACAACCTCAGGCGCCGAGTCACAGAGCTCCATCAGCTCCGGCAGGATATCAAGCAGCGTGACAGACGCTTCCACGTTGAACTCGTACTCCTCCGTCTCTGTAACAGCCATATGGTCAAGGAATGTCCGTCGGTTGTCATCTACCTGTGATGCTGATATAGGCTGTAAATCTTCAAACGCCTGATCTAACCCCTCTGCTGTAGTAGTAGTATCTTGGAAGCTGTTTTCCTCGAGCCATCGTTTAGCCCTCTCACAGCTTTCCTTGCGCTGAGCAGCCAGGACTGAACGAGACGGTAGATAGGCCGTCCGCTTGAATCGTCTGAAGAAAAGATTTGAGAAGTTGAGCGTCTTTATCTTGAATTTGATGTCGTCTGAGAGCGTCTCTTCGGAGTTGTTCGCTTTGAATAGATGCAACGTAGCTAGTTACACCAACCGTCAGCATTATCCTGTTTTTTTATTTAAAGAAAAGGTAGATAGACTTACCTTCTGCTATCTCGAGCCATCTGTCACAGCCGTGGATGCCCTGCTGCTGCTCTGCGCCTTGTCTGTTCGCGATGCGCTCGTGCAGTATAGATGTTATGGTGGCGCAGACGATGTAGTCTAGTATCATCAGGTCCACGTCTCGTCTGGTCTCTTCGTCGCAAACATCCGCCTCGTTGCAGGCCGGCAAAGGCTCCCCCGCTCGCCTCCAGGCGTTCGCTTGCTTCATGATGCTGTTGTGTTGGAGAGATGTCATCGCTGGCGCTGTGGCTGGCCGGAAGCGTCGTTATTAGTTATATCAGGCTTGGTTAGTTGTTGCCCCTATTCACCTGCAGTTCCTCACTTCCTCACTTCTTCACCTCACCTCACGGCCGCAACACCCCCTTTAATACCGAGATATCCCCCTCCCACCAGCGATAACTGATGCCTCACCTCCATCCTTCCGGTATATTCAATAGTTATATGCACGAACCAATTGTTGGCTCCACGAAAAAAGGTTGAACGGCTAACCTGCAGCAGCGGGCCTCCAGCTTTCCCTCGGCGCCAATGGCATCGTCCTGCGCCCACACCACAGGCCATCATGAGCAGAGGCACTGTGACAAGCTGGAGGTTCAGTGCAGGCCAGGCCAGTTGCGAATTGCGTGCCTCGTGAGGTCTTCAGTGCTTTTTTCCGTGTCCCCTTTGCGATCTCTGCTTGATCAAACCGCTTCTAACATGTACGATTTGGCTAGTTACAGGTTTCTTTTTCCTATCCTCCCTACCTCCTTTTGCTTTTACGGAGCTTCCTCGACACTGACTGCTGCCACCTGCAGCTCGAATCGCCATCCTCCCTCTCCTACGGCGTCCCTTTGTGCTTCCTTTTTCCTTTCATCTGCCACTTGCGCCCATTCTTGACAGTGACGTTGGAGTCGCGACTAGTCACGTGATACTTTTCCCGCTCCCAAAACGCTTATCGTCGAAGGAAATTCTGAGAAATCAGAAAAAAAAATAGAAGCACACAGCAAGATAACCCGAACAATCCCACACGGAGCTCGATTCTGGAGGACGAGCATCATCTTGCGCGCTAGTGGCGGATGATATCACGATAAACCCCTCCGCCACGAAAAAGAGAAGAAGTGGTTGTACTTGTTTTGTTTTTTTTTCGATCCCCTTTACTGCTAATGGGTCAAGGTCAGTCCTCCCGCCAGGGTGCAGCAGATGAACCGCACGATGCTTTCGAGAGAGACTTTTACGCGATCTTAGGGGTGGAACGGGATGCCACAGCTGAAGAGTACGCATTTTCCTATTCCAGCTAGTCGTGAGCTTGTATTATCTGGTTTCCTTCCGGTGTGTTATGGCTGACCATCGCCTGGTCCAGGATCAAAAAAGCATACCGGCGAAAGGCACTTGAGCTACACCCGGATAAGAACTACGGAAATGTTGAGGAGGCCACAGAACTCTTTGCGGAGGTGCAGTCGGCGTATGAAATACTTTCAGATCCCCAGGAACGCGCCTGGTATGACTCGCATAAAGATGCGGGCGGCAGCGGTGATACGGGCGCGCAGGGGCCAGAAAACTCGCGATTTACGGCGGCCGCTGATGTCATGTCGCTAATCATGAAGTTCAACCCTCGCATGGAGTTTTCTGATGCGCCCACGGGCTTTTTTGGAGGACTCAATGATACCTTCAGCCGGCTGGCTAGTGAAGAGCTCGTAGCCTGCCGGTGGGGGGACCTAGAGCCCATCCACTACCCCTCTTTTGGCTGCAAAGACGATCCCCCTGATTCCATACGCAAATTCTACGCTGCCTGGAGCAGTTTCGCCACGAAAAAATCCTACGCGTGGAAGGATGTGTACAAGTACTCCGAGGCCCCTGACCGTCGTGTGCGACGGCTGATGGAGAAAGAAAACAAGCGTCTGCGCGAAGACGGTATCCGGGACTTCAACGATGCGGTCCGGTCACTGGTTGCCTTTGTGCGGAAGCGAGACCCTCGATACAAGGCTACGGTCCAGAGCGAAGCGGACCGTCAACGGATCCTCCGTGACTCCGCGGCTGCCCAGGCTGCCCGTTCCCGACAGGCTAACGAGGCTAAGCTACGGGAATTTACGCTCCCTGAGTGGGCTCAGACAGCGGAAGCTGAGGAGGAGGATTTTTTCCCCAGCGAATCCGAGTCTGAGCAGAACCACTTTGAGTGCGTGATATGTAACAAGAATTTCAAGAGCGAGAAGCAGTTTGAAGCCCATGAACGAAGCAAGAAGCACGTCAAGGCGCTTAAGCAACTGCAGCGTGAGATGAAACTCGAGGACAAGCACCTCAACCTGGACACAGTGGAGCCCGGGGAGATGGAGCCAATGTCTGATGCTGATGGGCATGAATATGAAGATGAGCTGACGGGGCCTCAAACCCCAGTATCAGAGCAGGAACTAGACGGGCCTGGACCTGCTGATGATTCAGACAGGAGTGTATCCCATGAACCACCAGAGGCTACCGCTGCCCAACCCGACCCACCAGGGGATGAAGGTACAGACAGACTAGAAAGCGATGAGATTGACGAAGAAGAAATCCGAAAACATGTCCTGGGGGGTAGCCAAGACACAGATTCTATAACAGATAAACTCACGTCCCTATCCACCGGCCAGGCAAAAGGCCAGGACGAGGAAGAAGAAGAAGACATCCTCCCAACCAAGAAGCCAGGCAAGGCCAAGCAGAAACGCGCCAAGAAGGCCGCTGCTGCCCAGGCGGCGGGAGCAGAGCAGTTTATCTGCGCTGTGTGCCGAGAATCTTTTACATCCAGGAGTAAGCTGTTCACTCATCTGAGAGAAGAAGGCCACGCTTCGGCTCCAGCGAGCCAGAAGCAGCAGCAAGCATCGAAGAAGAAGAGAAAGTGATCTCGCTTCTCTCATGACATGATTGACGTTTGATGACTCGACGTATATAACCATCTATCTAAACAGTGCGAATATAGTAGACTATTGACTGTGTCCTTCTTTCATCATATTTAAATTGTCTGGACTGGACTTTAAGCACGTAGATGTAGAAGTCTTGCATGAAATATTCTATTAGGCAATTACCTGGTTGTCGTGTCTAGATAATTGCAGGTAGAATGTTAACGCGTACGATTGATTGTCACGACGGCAACAACCCATGTTCAATATGATCGAATAACTATTTAAGCCATATTTCTTAAGTGTGTATAATGTATAAACGGCCGTGGCATGCATGTATTCCCTTGTAGATCGAGTATATGTGAGACTATCGCTCCGATGACGTGCGGTCACAGCACTTATTCCCAGCAAAAATGGCACCGGCATCCACCAAAACCACGAGTTACGTGAATATTCATGATCGGATACGTGTAGGCTAGTTGTTTAGATGGGGTAAGGCAGTTATCAACGTGTAATATACTCTGGTGTTGATGTTATTACAATTTTCATCGATTTTCACGAAAATTTGAATATATATTTCACAAATTGCTATTTTTATTTTTTGATAGAAAACATACACATTGATACAATTGAACATAACCACATCATTACCATAACCAGGTACCGACATGGCCTAAGTGGATAAATAGAATGAAACAAGTTGAAATACTCATATTCTACCATAAAAATAATGGTATTCGGTTGAAATGATAGATTTCATACATGTTATTGCCGTGGGTGTATATTGCATGCATTGAAGCCGTGATTGAGGGAGAAAGCACTACCTCATGTATATCCGACACTCAAAGTGCATCCGCATTGATCTACCTGATAGAAAGATAGAAAGATTCATACTACGTTAATAAAAGCAACGGTACTTGTGTTATATTAACAGTACCCATGATGGGCGCTTTATTATGCGTGTTGTTGGACATATGTTTTTGAGAACTAAGTTAAATACCACACCAGCCAGCCTCTAATATACCTGGGTTATTTTCAAATTTTTTATATCACCATGACGCCAAATTCCGATCAAATAAAGTAAACAATGAATGAATGATAATGCCCGTATTAAAAGTCACGTAAAGGTCATGCAGAAGAAAGTCATTATTAGAGACATGCCGATGTTGATGAGATAACGCGTGATGGACAAACAGCTGGGACCATCTACCCGAGTCCCGCCTTGGAAGTCTTGACGATGTGGATGACAGGCTGGAGGATGCCCTTGTTATCGGCAGCACCAAGAGACATGCCTGTATTCCAGCCCATCTTCTCCAACATGGCTCGACCACGGTTATCAGCTCCGATCTCTGGTGCCGACGCGCCGACGACGTCTCCGTCCATGTACGAGGCAGCGCGTGTTTCGCCGCGGGACTTGGTCGAGCGTAGACCAGATGGACCTGCACGGCGTTTCTCAGAGTATCGAGTGATTCGTCTGCGGGAGAAGAGGGCGTCGAGTTCGTGTACCTCGTCGGGGTAGAAGGTGGGCGTGCCGCGTGTTTTTGTGAGGATGGGGAAGCGGTCGTAGCCCTTGCCGCGGGAGATGGATTTGAGGGAGAGCGCGTTGGCCATTTCATGGACGACCTTACGGTCCTTTTTGGCCATGGGAGGGAGATGGAGGCTAAAAAGAGTAATTAGTATCATATCATAAAGGTGATAGAAAATAGAATGGGTGGAACGTACGACTGAGTGCGGGACATCATGAAAGAGCGGATTTCATCGCGAATGTCGTCGGCAGTCTGGCCTCGAGGACGAGACTTGCCAGGCTTGCCCAGTAGACCCTGAGCACGCAACTCCTCTCGCTCGAGCTTCCTCGCCTTCTTCTTGCGCCGGTCAGCCTCCCACGAGGCCTGGATGTTGGACTCGAGCTCGCTGTCGGACAGGTCGAAGCCGGGCATCTTGCCTCTTGTCTTTTTGCCCATGAGACTCGGCCGGTTGTAGTCCATGATGTCGAAAGCGCCGTAAGGGTCTTCATCGAACATGTCTGCGAGTCTAGAGGCCGAGATGGGTTCGCGTAGCTGTCCATTCTTCTTCTTGACATTCTTCTTGTTCTTCTTCTTCCCGCCGGATGCTGCTGGACCGGACCTGGCGAATCCATGGCTGGTGAAGAAGTCGATCTCGTCTGCGTCCATGTCGGGGATGTCGCCTGTGTCGAGAAGGTGGGCAAGCTGTTCGTCGGACATCCACTGCATATCAGAGTCAAAGTCTTCATCGTCGTCCTCTTCATCCTCTTCATCCTCTTCATCCTCTTCGTCTTCGTCTTCGTCCTCTTCATCGCCGGAGCTACCTTCTTCCTCAATGTCATCTGGACCAGACATGCCGGGAGTCTTGGGAGTGACGGCTTTATCTGGCATCTCATCACCAGACGAGCCATCGGAGCTGTCAGAGCTGTCGTCTCCAATGATGTTGGCAAGGTAGTCTGCCACGGCGTCTGAATCCGCAGACTCGTTACCAAACTCCAGCACCACCCTGCGAGAAGAATGTCTTCTGTATGTCGTGTCTCTGCCGTCGACTGCATCATGGCTGCGTTTTGGAGGTGTTTTTTGAGATGTAGTAATAGTAGGAGTAGCAGTGGTAGTAGCTGCTGCTACTGGGGGATCGTTGATGACTCTCGAGCGGTCCTGTCGTCTCCAGAGGGGTGTTCTGCCAGTAAAGACGACCTCATCTTCACCTGAATCAGAGGAATCGCAGTTGATGACTGGGTTTGGAAGCGTTGGCTTAACAGTCTTGTCTCCCTCTGTATCAATAACATAGAGCTCTTCTTCCTCGTCTTCATCCTTGCCAGCTTCAGCTTCAGCTTCAGCTACCTCGACATCGACCTCGACCTCAACATTGACTTTGACATCCACATCGACAACGTCAACGTCCACAACTTCAACATCAACTTCAACATCCTTATCTTTGGTATCCTTCTGGTCGAGGACGAGGTTATCAAGGTTCCTGAGGACTGAGGGATCGTCGGGCTCCTTCTGGCCTCCGCTGACGAACTGGACGGTCTGGTAGCGGAGCTGTCGACTGCTGCGCTCGAAGGAGTGGCGCTCGGTGTTGCGGGCTTCCTGGCTGAGGGTGAACTGATGCTCTTCTCTAGGCGTATCTACATCGGTAAACAACCTTTAGCATCTCTCTTCTCTTCACTGCATTCCGTATCCTGTATTATAACTTCTGGTGACTGCCTGCTCACCTCTTTCAAAGGCCCTTCCGGCACCTGCAGTGAGTCAAGTCAGTCAGTAAAGGAGCGCGTCTTTGACTGTCTCTTTCTCCTCTCCTTCTTGCTTACCTCTGCGGCCTCTCTGCCGCCGCCTTGCCGGCATCTTGTAGCTTATAGCAAACAGTTTCTTGTCTTCCTCTTCTTCTCCTTCTTCTCCTCTTGTTTTCTCACTGTCCTCTTCCTCTCAGAGTCTTGGAGGTGAAAAGGCAAAAGAAAAGAGAGAGAGACAAAAGAAGCAAACATCCCCACTTGCGGCTATTTTTGCTTATCGAGCCTTAGATGCTGGTGATGATGATGATGATGATGATGATGTCTTTCTGCTTGTTCACGCGGCCAGACAGGAACATCTCACTCTTTCTTTGCTATTATTGTAACTCTTCTTATTCTCTAGTCTTATTGCTCACTGTTTGGCATTCACGTTGATGGCAGTTTGCTTCTCCCGTTTGTCCCTGTTTAAAAGACAGCCCATGTCTCGCGGAAGTTGGCTGCTCAGTTGACTGACTGACTGGCTTGATGAGTGCCGGCCTTTGATTCTCTTCTAGAGGGTGCAGCCTCACAACTTATATCAACCACCGGGTCCCCTTGCAGGCTCTGCAGCTTATAACTTCTAGAGAGATCAGAAGAGAGTATACAGCCATTAAAGTGAGATATATTTTGACTATCTATATATATGCATGCAAGATGTATAACCGGAGTTATATACTGATGCGGCGCCTGTCGAAGATGAACAACGTCGACCTGGGCAACCAGTACAAGAAGATCATCCAGTTCTTCTGGGACCCAGAACCGAAGAACGATGACAGCGGACAGCCCATCTGGTGTCTGGGGTGCGAGTACCGGCAGCCAGAGGACGACACTCTCTCGCAGTCGCAGTCGCAGTCGCAGGCATCTATCTTGACTGAGCGAGCGGGAGAGCCGGTGGACATCACCAACAGAGCAGACACATCCAAGCCTACAGCTACATCTACAACTACATCTACAACTGCAGTTACAGAGGGACGAACATCGACAGACAGACCACCGACACCCGGCTCAGCTATATCCTCGTTTGTCAACCTGGCATCACCAATATCACCGTCAGCAGCAGGCACAGGCACAGAGAGCAGTAGTACGCCAGAATGGCCGCCGCAGTTCCTAGACGACTTCGAGTCTAGGCTGTGGATAACGTATAGATCCCAGTTCCCGCCCATACCCAAGATGCCCAAGACGGGCAGCAGTGACTCGTCCATGCCGCTGGGGGTGCGTCTACGCAGCCAGCTCATCGATACCCAGGGCTTCACTTCAGACACCGGCTGGGGATGCATGATCCGGTCCGGCCAGGCCCTGCTCGCCAACACCCTCCTCTTCCTCAGACTCGGACGTGGTATGTCTCTGTCTCTTTCTTTCTTTCTTTCTTTTCTTTGCAGATAAATATATTGATTAATGGTGTAGACTGGCGGCGAGGGAGCAAAATACAGGAAGAGAGCGAGCTGGTGTCACTGTTTGCCGACCACCCGCGAGCTCCCTTCTCCATTCACCGGTTTGTGCAACACGGAGCCACTGCATGCGGCAAATGTCCTGGAGAGTGGTTTGGCCCCTCGGCAGCAGCACAGTGCATCCAGGCGCTGGTCAAGAGCAACCCGCAGGCCGGGCTGAGGGTGTATGTTACCAATGACGGATCAGACATCTACGAGCGGCAGTTTAGGGAGGTTGCCTGCGACGAGAGCGGCAGCATCAAGCCTACCCTGATCCTGCTGGGTGTGAGACTGGGCATCGACCGGGTCACTCCCATCTACTGGGACTCTCTCAAGGCCCTCCTCCACTACCCCCAATCAGTCGGCATCGCCGGGTATGTCTATCTTTTCCACTTCCTTTCTATTTCCTTTCCTACTTTATATATATATATATATATGTATAGGGGGGATATGCTAACGAGAGCAGAGGCCGGCCGTCGTCGTCCCACTACTTTATCGCGACGCAGGGAGACAGTTTCTTCTATCTGGACCCTCACCAGACGCGTCCCTGCCTGGCTCCCCGCAGTGAACCCACCGAGGACGAGGAGAGCCATCCTTACAGCCCCGAGGAGCTATCTACGTACCACACGCGTCGGCTGAGGAGACTGCACGTCCGGGAGATGGATCCGAGCATGCTCATCGGCCTTTTGGTGCGTGACGAGGGCGACTGGGAGGACCTGAAGAGCCGGGTCAAAGAGGGCAAGGCGAGAGGCAGGATCATCCACGTCTTTGACCGTGATCCCAACGTGAGGGAGACTGAGCGAGAGGGAGCCGAAGAGGAAGTTGAATCATTCGACGAGATATAGCCATCACTTTTACTACCATGAATACTGTAACCGCCTTCTACTTCATCTACGAAATAAGGAGTGAAAAGATGGACAGGCAATGATGACATTAACATGGCACTATCAATCATCAAGGCACCTTCAGAGAGATGAGAACCTCGACATTAAGAAATAGAAAACGACCATCCGATCCCATGAGTAAAAGTAACAGGAGTAAAAGTAACAGTTGGTAATAAAAAAGCAAGAACAGAGCCCACGAAACACCCATCCCACCTCAACCATGACATAAAGAGGAAAGAAAAGAGAGAAGAGTCAAAAGAGGCGTTTATCGGGCAGAGGAAGAGTACTTGGTGACGGCCTTGGTGCCCTCAGAGACGGCGTGCTTGGCCAGTTCACCGGGCAGGATGAGGCGGACGGAGGTCTGAATCTCTCTGGTGGAGATGGTGGACTTCTTGTTGTAAGCGGCGAGCTTGGAGGCTTCAGTGGCAACGCGCTCGAAGATGTCTAATACCAATTAGCAGTGATCATTAAAACCATGAGCAAAGTAGGAGTGTGCCTTACCGTTGACGAAGGAGTTGAGGGTGGACATGGCGCGCTTGGAGATACCGGTGTCAGGGTGGACTTGCTTGAGCACTACACAAAACATGTCAGTCAGACGCGTCAAAGTAAGATACAGAAAAAAGAGGTAGAGACGCACCCTTGAAGATGTAGGAAGAGTAGGTCTCCTTTCTGGCCTTGGTGCGCTTCTTCTTGTCGCCAGAGCCAGCGGCAGCAGTCTTCTTGCCGGCCTCCTTCTTCTCAGCAGGTGCCTTGCCAGCCGGGGCCTTGCCGGCGGTCGAGGGCTTCTTCTCAGCAGCCTTGGGAGCCATTATGAAGTATGAGTTGAAAGTGGAAGAGTAAGAGTGGAAGAGTAGAAAGAGAAGAAGAGTATGAGAGCAGAGTAATAAGTGCTGGTGGACGTGGTCGTTGTAGTTGTAGATGCGAAGAAGGAGAGAGAGCGAAAGGCGACGGGCGACGAGCTTTATAAAGAGGTGGGAAGCGGCCGCGGCGTGATCCTTTTTTGCGTGATCGAGCGAGAATTTCAGTACGCGTAAGGCCCCCGTATGATCTGTATGATTAAGTTGGTGTTCTGCGGTGGAGAAGTAGGGCTGACTAAGGCGACGCGGCGTAACTTACGGTATGCGTATTATTGATCTGGAGGGGCGAAAAAAAGTGATCTTGCGCGCTCGTTTTGTTCTTATAAAGAGCGACTTCTCCCTCCGTCTCTCGCTGCCAGCTCTTCCTCTTCCTCTTCTCCATCACCAAACAGCAAACACTCCAGCTACTACTACAAGTCTCTCAGCCGACTCTTGCTCTTCAGCTTCTGCTCCTTTTACTCTCCCACTTTCAACCCTTACTCTACCATCAAAATGACTGGCGGCAAGTCTGGCGGAAAGGCCTCTGGCACCAAGACCTCTCAGTCGTACGTCTTCTACTCCTACTTCTACTCTTTTAATAATATGACCTTCTCTAACATTTAAGCAGTCGCTCTTCCAAGGCCGGCCTCGCGTTCCCAGTTGGTCGTGTCCACCGTCTCCTCCGCAAGGGCAACTACGCTCAGCGTGTCGGTGCTGGTAAGCCAACTCAATGACATAAACACACTCATAAAAGTATGTACTAACTTCAACAGTCGCCCCCGTCTACCTCGCTGCCGTGCTTGAGTACCTCGCTGCCGAAGTGCTCGAGCTTGCCGGCAACGCTGCCCGCGACAACAAGAAGACCCGTATCATCCCTCGCCATCTCGAGCTTGCCATCCGCAACGACGAGGAACTCAACAAGCTTCTCGGCCACGTTATCATCGCCCAGGGTGGTGTCATGCCCTACATCCACCCCAACCTCCTGCCAAAGAACACCCCCAAGGTCTCCAGCACCAAGGGCGGCTCCCAGGAGATGTAAACGCGCTACTGTCTTTTCCTTTTTCCTTTTCTACTACTACTTCTTCCACTTTATATGTTACAGGCGCATGGTTCCGTTCGGGGTGGGATAGGATGGTCTCTACGTGGTTACTTTACCCTTTTAACCTTTTACTGCTACTACTGATAGTGCAATGACGATGGTGTATATTAATACATTCATGATTGTCTCTTCCATTTATCTCTCTCTCTCTCTCTCTCTTATATTCTTTACATTGCAGTAAAAGACGTAGATATATTTATGATGTAGATGTACAGTGGAAAAGAGATGTAAAAGCGAAAGAATTGTATTAGTTCTCGACCTTGGCTAGATGCTGTGGTTGTGGCTCTGCTCAAGTTAGTATTGACACTGCCGACCCTGAATATAGAGATATAAAAGAGAGACGTAGACATACCGTTCAAGATGGGAACAGGCAGGTTTCTCTCCCACTTGGATCCTGCAAAGAAGTCAGTATAGAACAGCAAGAGTAACAGTAACAACAGAGTAAGACTCACCTCCTGGTGCTGTTGGCGCCCGGTAAGGGTCGGGATGCTTCCACTTCTCCAGCAGTTTCTCCGTTTCTTGCAGCAGGACCTACACCCGGTCAGCATTCCCTCACTCCCCGGATATACTCCATATATATAACACCACAACCAGGAAGGGGTAAAGGGGAGGCGTACCCTCTGCTCGTGAGGATTCCGGACATTCTTGTTGGCCTCGAAGAGCGAGCGGATGTAGACTGCCTGGCCGCGCCAGAGGTTGCGATGGACGGCCCAGTCAAGCGACAGTTTCAGCGCGCGTTTGTACAGAACTCTACCCTCAACAGTTAGCATCTCTTCTTCTCCTTCGTCAGCGGTAGTGCCAATGGCAACTTACAAGGCTGGATGGCGAGCCATGGCTGCAGGTATAATGTTCAATGGCTTGCTTCTCTCTCGCTCTCTCTCTGCGTCTTCAAGCCTTTCGTGCTTTTTTTGGTGGTGAGGTTGACTTCTGGCAGTCGCGGGATCATGGATATTCCGGTTTCGTCCGCAGCCCGACCTCACCCCAAAACATAAAACATCAAAAGCAAGACAAGAAAAATTACTTCGCCTTTACCTCTGCCTCTGCCTCCCTCTCTATATCTCTATCCCCCTCTAACCTCTATATCTACTCTCCTTGCTCTGAGTAATACTATAATTCCACCATGGCTTCGAGGAGAATATCACAGCTGTCCGGTGCTGTCTTGCGCCAGACGCCTGCTCTTGTCCGGCCGCAGAGCTGTCGCTGCTTCTCGTCACTGCGGACGGCTTCAACCCGACAGACACCGCTCGTCTCCTCGTCTCTCTCCCGTCTGGACTCACTGAAGTCGCAGTAAGTTGGTTCCGCTGCCTCCTACAGCTTCAATTCGCTGACCGCGGCCGGTAGATATGTCATGCCCCGATCAATTGGACAGATACGCACTTACGGTAGATAACCTTCCGTCACCTATACTATACTATATACACACATACAAAAGAAGACAGAGTTGACTCACTGGTAACCTTAGCCGATGCAATTGTCAAGAGATGCACACAGATGGCCGAGTCCATCTCAGAGGGT